ATAAATTATACATGAATTACTTAAATTATTTATAATAAATCTTGAAATTGCGTCAATTATTTTATTAGAAAGATTTCGCCGTATTTGTAAATTTATTATTATCAGTAATACAGTAATGTATTATCGATAATAATTATAAATTCGCAATTTTGATTGGCTAACTAATACGATGATCGTCGGTCCTGAGTCAACATAGGGTTTCCTTATTTGGGACGTTCCTACCTCGATTAAAATAACGATAAGTTACCCGATAATAAAATCAGCCAATAATATGTAAGTATTCCCGTGAGACACAGTATAAATAATATCGAAAAGAACTTTTTTATATTTATCAAAAAAAAACCTAGAAAATGAGTGAACGGTAAGATCCGTATGAAAGTCTTGTTATTCCAACTTTACAGTTATAATTAACCATGAAAACACTGATTTATTTTATAGCAAAGTTTTAAATAAATACTTCCCGCCAGATTTCGATCCAGGTTTAGTAAAGGTTTTTAGTAATGCTTTTTTTTAGTTGTTACCATTAGTTATGCTAACCGAAATTATTTAATTTTACTAAAATTATGGTTTATAGCTGGTAAGTTATTTGTTGTATGATCAAAATTATTTTTACACCTACTTAGAAAAAGTGAATTGATCTAATTACACAATATTGAAATATTTTATTAGCGATTCCAAGACGAAAACAAGCTAAAGATGCACAGCATAAGGTACTATTAAAAATTATTTTAGTTATTCTAGTTATAATTAAGGGAGATAAAATTTATTATTATAATTCAAAATAAAAAATCAAATTTTCTTTAAAAAATAGGTCCGTTTGATGACACCATATGCTATGAGATGTGAAACATGTGGAGAATACATTTATAAAGGGAAAAAATTTAACGCACGTAAAGAAACAGTTGAAGGGGAAACCTATCTATCAATTAAAATTTTTCGATTTTATATAAAATGTCCAAGATGTTCAGCGGAAATTACTTTCAAAACTGATCCTAAAAATACGGATTATATTGCTGAACATGGAGCTTCAAGAAATTTTGAACCTTGGCGAGAAGAACGGATTGCAGGAGAAGAAGCAAAAGTACAAAAAGAATTAGAAGAGGAAAATAATCCAATGAAAGCATTAGAGAATCGTACATTGGATTCGAAACGAGAAATGGATATTTTAGATGCATTAGATGAAATTAGAACAAGAAATGCGAGAAATGAACGAGTTGATGCAGATGCATTGTTAGATAAATTATTAGAGTCAGATCAAATTATTGAGAAAACTGAAAAAGAAAAGGAAGATGAAGAAGATGAAAGGGTGGCGAAAGCTATATTTAATACGGTAGATGGAGATAAAGTTAAAAGAGTCGCAGATGATGAACCGGAACTTTCACAATTACTTTCTGAATCAGCAAAATCTTTTGTTATACCGAAATTCAATAGCACAAGTTCAGCTGATAAAAATAAAGTCGTAGAGAATTCGACTAAACGAAAAAATGTGGGATCCGAACTTGGAATTATGATCAAAAAGAAAAAAACAAACAATAATTCTTTGTTGGTAGATTATGGATCTTCCGATTCGGAAGATTCATAATCTACTTAGAGTTTAGAACCGGGGTATAGTAAACTGGGTCGCCCGTGTCAAAACGGTTCAACCGGGTCAAAAATTTACGATCACATTATTATTGTATTGTGAAAATAAACGCATTTTTTTTCTTACTAATTTATCTAAATGTTCAATCCCGCTAATCTGGATTTTTAGAGCCTACCATACGACTATCTATTGCGAAAATTTTACTAAAAATTTTCCTTTGTATAAGCCTTCATTATTAATTTCTTTGCGCTAATATGTAATATACTGTATGTGTTCGATAGTACCCCGGTAATTCGTAGTGCTGGGGTTCGGGTTATGTAACGTGATTGCATGATCGTAGATAGCATAATTAAGAGCCTAATATATACGTACGTACGTTGTTACGAAAAACATCGTAATAAATTAAAATACATTTTTTCCTTTCGTAATACCTTCCGTAATTACGAAATGATTTTCTTAGTACAGTAGTAGTAGTTAAAGGTTATGACTATATCTGTGTAACGATTTCTAGCTTAATAGAAAAACTATATAAAGGTCTCTTTTGAGAGAATACACTAACTGCACTATCGTTCCTAAGTTTATGGCCCTGCGTTAAATTGATGTTGTGCCGAGTCATAAAGTCTCACCCAGGTCACCATTAATCACAGGTTTGTATTTATAATATCGTATTATTTTTTTTTTCTTTCATGCTTATCTGTTATTGTCTGGATCTCAGATTCGAACTGAAATTTTTTTTTTTTTGATAATTATCTTTTTTTTCGAAAATTTGGTAATTTTTAAATAATAAGCAGTACCGAGGCTTTGTTTCATGACGCATTTAATGTAATTATAGTAATATTAAATATGGGCGGTGAACAATTTTTCAAAAAAATAATATAGGAGAGCACATTCAGTTATACGTAACTGAAAACAATTATGAATGTCTTAAGACGATGACAATGACGGGTCGTCAGGTTCATACCGCGGTAGCGGAACTGTAAATTTTTATTTAGATGTGGCCTAGAATAAAAAATAGCCACACTTGAAGCTAGGACACTTATGCTAATAAGTGCGTAGCATTCGAGTTAAATTGGTAGCCTCACTTTTTATACATAATAAATTTGAACGAATCATTATAATAATACTTGAATTGTTTTTAAGATGACATGATTCGAATTTAGATAATTAATAATTAAGTTCTAAAAATGAAGGGTTCTATATATTACTATATAATTCTATATTTTTCTAAATCTTCTATATTTTTCTTTGTTTTACGAATCATTCAATGGAATGACACCATTCGTCCTTAGGAGAGATAACCCATGAAAGAAGTTGCCTATATTAATTATATAAACAATAGAGTTTGTAATAATAAATATATTACAATTGATTATCCCTTTTAATAAGAGTTGAGCTTCATGTCCATTTGTATTCTTCATGGATTGTAAATTGAGAGCCAAAGAAATAATTGGAAATATTAAATAATAAATGGTTCTAAATAATTCTATTTTAGCAAACATTTTACTGTAATTATAAATCCATTGAAAATTCACCAAACTTTCGATAGATGAATCGTTATTTAATTGTTGTGTTTGAAAAATTGAATAAGAATTGACCGGTACACTTGTTGATATTGATTGTCGAAGAGTTTCTAAATCTTTTTCGTATTTTTTTTGTGAAAAACGAAATAAAAGTTGAGTAAGAATATTATGAGATGCCCGTCCTACCGAAAATATTATCATCGCTTGAAAGAATGCAGATGAAGATAAATTATATTGCTCATCAACGATTTGTTTTTTATATCCATAAGAAGAAAGAATAATAGCTGAAATGCTGATTAGAAAACTAACTATAGGAGACCAATCTTCATAAACCTTTTGCCATGATTTATTTAGGAAAGGTAAAAGTAATAAAAGTACACCTCCTAAAGATACAAAATATATTAAGTAAATAGCTATATGAATAACTATATTTATCTCTTGCAAGATAAAATTATCAATTCTTGTAGTCCAAAAAGCATTTTCAATGTCTCTAAAAGCATGTATAACAAAGAATATGAAAATGGTCACGTAGGCAATCGAAATCAAATAAGTAAATGAGGTGGTAAAGCAATAATTTCTAATTTTATTAAAAGGGTCGCTCATACTGAGAGATGTGTATGTACAAGTATATAAAGAAATTGAATTATTTTTTAACGTTCAACGTTAAATATATAGGTATTAAGCGAAAATTTATTATTTGTGACATCTACGTATGCAGTTTTTATTAATATATTTTATGTAACAACTTCATTTCTAATTTTGTATACAACTTTGAATAGACACCAATAAATATCTATATTGATAATATAATTTTAGTATTTTTAAAAAAAGGTTAAGTATTTGCTTTATACAAAATGTAAATCTTATACGTATATGTATTTACATATTCAGTATCGGCAAAAGTGATCCGAAAACAAATCATCCTGTTATGGCTTATATCAAAAACACTATTACATAAATATACGTATCGAGCTGAATTTTGATATTATCACATCGTAATTTAAAATTTTCTCTATATTTATCAATATCGAGAGTTCACTATAATTTTCATGAACTTTTGTGGATATTAAAAATAAAATTGATTTGTAAATAGTGACGCCCAGGGAAAACAGAATTCGGGCTTTTGTGTTTATTGTTTACTATTTATCGGAATCAGCCTTGACCGGCAACATATACGTAATTATGTCTGATCAGGCTAGTCTGATAAATAATAAATAATAAACTTGAAAGACGAAGTCTGGTTTTCTCTTGACGTCACTCAAGTATCTTTGGTTCATAGTTTATAGTGATAGCGATACTATAGCGATCCTGTAGTGGTAGTAAATTTTTATACATTTACATTATATGTATAATTAATGCGGTACGTTGGACATAATGGGAAAATCGACCGATCCGATATGGGCCTTTTTAGACAACTTGTTACACTGAAGTTTTGCTCTTATATTAAATTGAAAAATAACGAATGAAACGCATTACAATCAATAAAAAGAACTTTTCTATATCGTACATAACAGGGTACTAAGCTGTAGAAAATGAACTATTACCAGTTGTTGAGGTATTAGGTGTTTAAGTATCAGTTGGTCATTAATAATTGGTTGAATAATGTTTAAGTAGATACTTTAACTGCAATGTAAATACATATGATTTCCATATATATATTATATTATATTTTCTAGTAACTTTGGGTATGACCAAATCGGTCCGTCGACCAAGTCAAAGTTACTTAGTTTAGTCGATTAAGTAATAAAACGTCAAATTAGGAATTAAACAAATTCTACGTACTTACACCGAAGTTGTTTTATTTTTAAAATCCAAATAGGTTCATAAGTTGAATCCACCTACAATGTCGATATGCATTTGGACTCAAAGTTTTACAATGCAAACATGTAATAATAGGACATGATCAATTTTCCGGATAGGCGTCAAACCTATGACAAACCCTTCCATTGTTATCGTTACGGAAATTATATACGTATACTTGGTGTTCCGAATGGACCAGATCAGACGGATATTTTTACAGCTGTTTTCATAAAATTGACCGACCGAATATTTGCCGATTCGATAAGTTTTGATTCGGCAGTAATAACCCTTTGATTCGGATGTAATCACATTCGAATCAAAAGTTTATCTAAGCATATCGGATCGGCAAATATCGGCCGGTCAATTTTTGCCAGATTTTCCAGAATTTATGAAAGCAGCTGTAAAGATCCGAATCCGTACAAAGTAAATCCGGATTCAATCCGAATTCGTCTCAAAAAAAAACAATCTGAGAAATTTTTCTTTCCGATGTTATGTTGTTTGACTATCTACACTTTCGAACATTCTGACCAATCAGAATAAATGCCCGTGCCTCCATATGGACCGGACCGGGTAATCCGGGTATTACCGAACGGATCTTTGTAAGGATCCGGACCATTTTCGGAACACTACGTATATTATCCTCAATATTCGGGTGACTTCTACTTTTACCGTTACAGCTGTTCTCATAAATTCTGGGACAACTAATAAAAATTTGATCGGCCGAATTCGATAAGTTTTTGAATTCGATGTTATCGGAATTGGATTTTCGGTATTATAGCAATCCAATTCAAAAACTTATCGAATTCGGCCGATCAATTTTTATCAGTTGTCTTGAGAACAGCTATAAATCCACCAAGTACGTGAAATGTGAATAGCATAGAATTCCTTGATAAAATTTAGATGTCCCTCCGATAATAAATAGGACTACTTAGTCATCGGGTCATTTCAAAACCTAAATGACTTAGGTCATTCAACATGTGTTAATTAATATTCTAATACCTTTTAACCAATCAGAAGTATCCTCCAAACACAATGGTTCATTAGCATTAGGGTGTCACCAATAGTGATTGATCATTAGTATCATTAGTGATAATTTTTTGAGTGATTTATCCGAAATTTTTGGTTCATATGAAATTGCTGTATTTAATTTTTTTAGATTTAATAAACTAATTTTAATTCTTCACACATGTCTTCATCAAGTAATAACCGCATATTTTAAGTATTTAAAAAATGCTTGTTATTTAAATGATGTATATTTATTTTATTATATAATTTATATATTGTAATAATACATTAATTACTTAAAACATGCGATTATTACTTGGTAAATGCAAATATAAAGAATTAAAATTAGTTTGTTAATTCTAATAAAAAGTCAAAATTTTCGGACAAATCACTCAAAAAATTATCACTAATGATCAATTACTATACAACTAGCCCTATCATTATGTTTGTGATTAAATTAATTGGTGACACCCTAATCCCAATTTCGCCGACATCTATTTCACCGACAACTCATTTCTCTGACAACGCATTTCGCCGACAGTCCATTTCTACTTCCAGCTTCACTTCCCTAACAGCCTATTTCCCCGATAGTTCATTTCGTCGACAATTTTGGCCCGATTTGGGGTTAGGGTTTGCCCACTTTATAGTTAGCAATGGCTAGAGGTAGATTGCGAAATAGAAAGTCTGCAAAATTTAATTGTCGGGGAAGTTAAGTTTGGGAAGTGGCTATCTGTGAAATGGACTGTCAGTGAAATGCATTGTCAGAGAAGTGGGCTGTCGGTGAAATGGCCGTCAGTAAATAGGTGTTGGCGAAATCTACGTACCAAATCCATGATCATCGATTAGGAGTTCGTTAATTTTTATAAGCAATTCGACCAATAAAATTATTCTATATGCAAATGACCTGAATGACCTTAATGATCCAAATAACCTGATCATTATTTGGTGACTTGGGGTCATTGAATTTTGATCAAACGATCAGGTCATTTACCATCCCTGATAATAAATGCACCTATGCAACTTTCCATTGTTAATGCAAACATTGAAATGTATGAATAATGAAGGCTAACATTTTGACAAACAGGTTACCAACGGGAGAGGTGCGTTTAATGGTATTAGTTATCTCATTCATACCGTGGAATTCAAGTGAATTCCTCATGTGAATTACAATTACAATAAATATTTGGCTAGGCTGTACAAAATACTCGGTCAACTATCTGGACCGTCATCAAATCAAAACGTGCCTTAGTGAAATCCGACAAATTATTACGCATGATAAAAAATTAGGTCATGTCTAATACGCGCTTCGAGTTTATTAATAATTTTAAAATGAAATGAGGGGTTTCTAATTGACTTCCTCATACTTGTTTATTATGAAATATACCCCTAAACCCTAACCCTAAAAAATTTGTATTTTGGGTGGCTTGTCTACTTTACACTATCTCTTCCCTTATTTCATTTCAGTAATTAACAAAAAGTGACAGCTCTCATGTTACTATTAGACATAACCTAATTTTTTATCAATTTGTCGGGACCTCACTAAGGTACGTTTTGATTGACGATGGCTCGTATCTTTAGTTTGCCAATTAACGCAACCGCCGCGCTGGGTGAATTGTTTTATTATGATTCGAATCAATCCGTTTCAGTTTTTGATTTTTCATTACTTGATTACATCTTTACTTAGTCTAGTTCTATTAATAATATTTTTGTAAGCTTGATTAAACAAGAAAATGTATTTTAAAATTTTTTTTGAAAATAACAATAAATACAAAATTCAATTAAGTAATTTCATTATATTTCATTTTATAATTGCTTACAATACAATATTATTTTGAACAATATTCAAATTATCATATAAATAAATTTAAGTCTAATTGCTCTTTGCAACTTTAAACCAAAGATTCGTTAATTTATTAGCTATTTACTAACTATCCAGACAGTTCATTCACGCCCTTAAACCAAATCAAAATTTTATTTAAATATATTCAATCGAATCGATTGATTATTAAAATATTTATTAACATAAATAACGGGCATCTGCGCGTTATTTCGGGTACGACCATGGGCGTTATTGCGAAATGACAGATCGATTACCTAATCGTGACGATAATATGCGAATTTTTTTTCTATTGTATTAGCTAGTCCTCGTGATTGGCTGATAAATTGTCTGAACGTTATTATCATGTGCAAGTTATTGTCTGAGCTAAACTATTACAAGTGCGCGTTATTTCGAAACGCGTATGGGCGTTATTTCAAACCAAATATACTATTGTTAGAGGGTGCGATTTTCGAAATAGCGCTCATGCCCGTTATTTCGAGAATTTACGATAAAAAAAAAAAAAAATTTTATCAAAAAAAAAACAAAAAATTATATGCTACTAAATTTACTTTATTGAATAATTTTCGTAATCTTATTACCGTAAATGTTTAATTAAGAAAGCGTATTGCTTGCTAATCTTGACAAAGAAAACTTGCAGAACAGTATTCAAAAAAAGTTAAGACTAATTTTTTTTAAGATCAGTAATAATTAATAGTGACACATGAGTTATTGATTGGAAGTAATCTGAATAAATTAATTGTATAGCATAGTCTAATCACCACATAAGTCATTATAAGAATGTTTTTTGCATTCGAAAATATATATGTCTGTAGTCACATATTTAAGTCTGGAGAATGATCAGTTTATTATAATAACTGGATTCGAACTTTAACCTTCGTTTAATAGATCACATGGTGATAACCTGCTTTAGAAGTTTACTACAATCGCTACAGAGTTAAAAACACCAATTCTTTTGCAA